AAGTCTATACGAAGATCAAGCTTCATCAAGTCAAGATTTCAGTTGGAGAATTCTTACCCTTCTTAAACAACACTCAACTCAAAGTTGATAGAGTCTGAGTAAACTCGGAGGAGTTGAAAAACCTAAGGCGAAAGTTGCTGTCCGGCTTAGTGATCAAGGAAGCAATCTTGGCGAGATAGTTTGTACTAAGGAGTGATTAGTGCAAACCCTTTCATAGTTGTGAAGGAAGAGTGGAGTAGGCTTCGTTAATAGCCGAACCACTATAAAAATCTCTCTCTCTTTACTTACTGCCTTTTACTTTTACGTGCATTGCATCCTCATCAAACCTAAGTCACAATCTTTAAACTTACAAGTGTGCAAAGAGAACTAAAAGATATTAACATTTCCGTTGTGCATATCTCTCGTGTAACCTTTCGCTAAAGTTTTCAAAAATCGCTTGTGAGTCTATTCACCCCCCCCTCCCCCCTCCCCCCTTCTCTAGACTCACACCTCTTGGTATCAAGACCAACATGTACCGGCTTGGCGATCGAGCTTACTACCAACCGATGACAAATAACTAAGCGATCAATCTCAGGCATATCCCCGGGCCCCACGCAAAGATGTTCAAATACTCCTTCAGCACAACTAACATAGTAACAATGCGTCCCGCAAGTCGCTGCTCAATGTTCTTCCAATTTAATTACCCAGTTGGGTCGGCTCTCATCTAGAAGAACTTCCTCCACTTCTTCTAAAGTCTTGGGTTGCTCTTTCTTCTAGTCGTCTTTCCTCTTACTTATTGTACTCATCCGAGAGGTTCCTGCCTTGCTTCTGTACTGCTCGGTCATAACATTTCAGAGCAGATCGGATATCACTCCTTAAGACTCCAACACCTTCCGGAGTCTGAAATTTCATGCACAGATGGGGCATGGAAATCATGACTCCAATTTGCATAATGCTGGTTCAGTTGAGTATTATGTTGTGCACGCAATCCAACTTAACCATGATGAATTACATCTCAATTTTCAAAACCCAAGGGTAAGTTCTGACTTCAATTGGTAACCAAACCATTGCCTCCGGTTGAATCATGTTGCCCGTGAAACCAGGCAAGGGAGTTCTGGTCGAGGTCGGCATTGCCTATTCTAGCTTGAGCTTTTTGAAAACGTCCAAGTAGAACACGTTCACGCTACTGCCCGTGTCTACTAAGACCCTCTCGACATTGAACCCCATGATATCTATTGTGACGACCAAAGCCTCTGAACTATGCTCAGATTTCATCGGGAGGTCGTTGTTGGTGGACACGATTGGTTCAACTCTTCTTCTTTTCTCTTTTAGCTCGGACTTAATCAATCCGACCCGTAGTTCTCGGGACCATCGCCGTCGCTCTTTCATACTGCTTCCACCTTCCAATCGTCCAAATATGACATGAATGACTGGTTGGAAGTTGGCGGCGGAGGCGGCTCATTATCTGGCTCGAGTTCTTTCTGTTTCTCACTTTCTTGTCCTTATCGGGCCTCTTGAAAATTTTTCTTCCAAGACTTCTTCTCCGTTTCCTTCTTCACGAACTGGGTTAACTCATCCGAGCGCATCAATTCTTTCATGACTTTTCTCAAAGTATGGCACTCCTCAGTGTCGTGTCCCCTGTTTAGATGATATTTACAAAATTTGGACTTATCCTCCCATCTCAGGCAGGGTCCGGAATTTGGACCAGGTTGCAAGATTGGGTGTAATTAAAGACCTCCATTGCTAGTCAGTTCAGTGGAGTATACGCGGCGGCCTTGTCTCGTCCCTTTACCGATTGGTCACCCTGTTTCTAATCGGGACGTCGTTCTCTCCGGCTTGATCCCGTCTCTTCTCTTTGCTTGGTCATATTGGCCTCTATTGCATTTGCACAATCGGTAACCTAGTGGAGGGCTTCCTCATATGTCTAGGGCAGACGCAAAATAAAGTCTTCATACAAGCTCCCTTATTGGAGTGAGGAGTGGAGAATGTTGATAATCGTTCGATCATCCATTGGCTTGACCTCTCCAATTTCGTTCTTCCACTAGGTTAGTCAGCGGTTCACCCTCTCCTTGGCGAATACCATTTAGATGAGTGAAGTGTCGTCTCACTGTCTTGGAAGTAGCGAATTTCTGGATAAACAATATCTCCAGCTCGGGAAAACTCCCGACAGATCCAGGCTCAAGTGATTTGAACCACTCAGTTGCCCTCCCGAACAGAGCGTAAAAGAAGGCTCGGGAAATAACCGCATCAAACACCTCCATCCTCAACATGTTGCTGTAATAAGAGTTAACATTTTCCTTGAGGTCAGTCTTGCCATTGTAATTCTTGTTCCCGAGTACCCATAAGTTAATCAGGTATGGCTGGTGCATGATCTCCGCTGTGACTGGTGTCGTTAACAACGAAGTTCTTGCTTCGGATGGTCAGGACATCTGTTCCCGTTTCCATAGGTTGAACTCAAGTCCGACTTGATCCAAGATTCCCTTGGGAAGCTCAGCTTGCCCTTCCCTCCGAGAATTTCTATGTCGATGAGGATTGGATGCACTGATTTCTTCATAATTTCCTCGCCAACCAACAAACAGGTGATTGATTGACATTCGCCTCTCTGTTCGTACCCAAACGATCCCGCATAGGCGGCTAAACCCAATCGAAGGAACTCTGAATTGAGCTGGAATTCGTCTGAGACTCCTCTCCTGAACCCAATTGGGTCTGAACAGGGCGACGAAGTTGGGGAAAATGCTCGTGATGGCTTGTAGGCTCTCTGCACTGTGAGTGTGCTCGGCGAAGCTCGGGTTTCCTTCCCCTGCTTGCGGGCACCGCTTCTGGTGCAGTTGGGGCCGGCATATACATCCGTTGCGTATACATGGCCAACATAGGCTGATATGGATAAGTTGAAGTATAGAATCGTGGTGAATTCTGCCACCATTGGAAGGTCGAGTCTGGTACCCTAGCAAGATTCATTGGAAATTGGTAAGGAATTTGGCCGGGAGTAGCTGGAAATGTCGGCTTGTGATTGATCACGTTCAAAGCCGGAGGTACCCCCCCCCCCCCCCCCCCCCGCGGAGAAGTCTTATTAAGGTCCATCTAAGAACTTAGACATGATCGTAGATCCGAACTACTCTCCTCAGCTTCATGTTCATTGAAGAAATCCAAGTAATACATGATGAATATCGATATGAGCGCAACAATCGGCTTTTATGGCAAGTGTATTTGTCTTGTATCTTGTGTTATGAAATTTTTTACCTTACAAGTATGAATTATGTACCTCATCGTTTCGATCCAGGGTCCATAGTGCTATGTGGACCCTGCTCCGTGATATTAATTGCCCAAAAATTCCAATTCTTATACCATGGAACATGGTTCACACTGCAATATGAATCCTAGTTTATGTATTTTTGTGTTTTGTGTTTTGTGTTATGACTTTTATGTTTTGCGTTATGAAATTCTGTACATTATGAGTATGAATTTTGTACCTGGAACAAATTAGTAATTGTGTCTTAAGTTACGAATTTCTGCGTCTTTGTGTTGTAACATTTTGTGCCTATGAACACAAATTGTGTACTTAAATCATATTTGAAAAATAACTAAATATATAACATGTGTATGCGTATTGTGTCGTGATTTTTTGTGTCTTGTATTATGAAATTATGTACCTTACAAGTATGAATTCTATACCTCGTCTTTTCAATTCAGCTAAGTCCAAAATGCTATGTTATGCATCTTATGTTGTAATTTTTTGTGTGTTCGTTATAAAATTCTGTACCTTACGAGTATCAATTCTGTACCATATTATTTCAATTCATGTCCCATAATACTATTGTTTCAATCCATGATCCATAGTACTATGTTGACCCTGGTCCATGAAGTAAATTGCCTAGAAATGCCAATCGTTATGCTATGGACCCGTGCCGTTATCTCATTTTTTTTTTTTTTAAATTTCAGACCGCTTCGTTATAGGAGTATATGTTCATAATTTTATTACTATATGTTAATAACTGTACATTCATAACTCCATAACTGTACATTCATAACTCCATAACTGTACATTCATAACTCCATAATTGTACATTCATAATTTTCGAAGCTCTATGTTCACAATTTTAGAGCTCTATGTTCATAATTTTATCACTATATGTTCATAATTGTAAGTTCATAATGTCAGAGCTCTTTGTTCATAATTCGATCAATAATTGTACATTCATAATTCCATAACTGTAGATTCATAATCTCATAATTGTAGATTCATAACTGTAAATTCATAACTCCATTACTGTACATTCATAATCTTCGAAGCTCTATATTCACAATTTTAGAGCTCTATGATCATAATTTTATCACTATATGTTCATAATTGTAAGTTCATAATGTTAGAGTTCTGTGTTCATAATTGCATAACTGTACATTCATAACGGTATAACTGTACATTCATAATCCAAAAAAATAACGCCGTTAACGCCATTAACGGCAAAACACGTGCGAATTTTTTTTTTAACTAAATGACGCGTTTTTTTTGAAAAACGACATCGTTTTGTGCCCGTGTCCACAATTACACAATTCATTGTAATTGTGGACACAGGTCCAGGACATAATTTGCCTAGAAATGCTGTTTGGGCCTCATTTTGTGGGCATTACATATGATTCTTGTTTTTTATCCAGCAAATTATATTGTGCACCAGGACGTATAATGCATTGTGCGTCCTGAATAATTTTTCCGTTTCTATCGTTAACTTCTAAGAGAAAATTTCATGTTTCGTATATATAGGAGAATACACATAAACTTCGCATAATCTAACATAATATATAATACATATAAACTCTTAACATAATACACATAAACACAAATGTTATATATATATATATATATATATATATATATATATATATATATATATATATATATATAACTGTAACAGGATTAGACGGACGGAACATTGTCCGTCATTTTGGGCCAGGCTCACAATGCATTGTGCCCTGGTGCCCGATATAACGATTCTTTTTATCCGGCTCAAAACTTAAAACTATATTCAGTTTCGGTTACCTGGTCGACACGGCAATTTATATCCTACACCACGGCGCGCGTTGCACTGTGCGTTCAGATGCAAAACGACGTCGTTTTAATTTTTTATTTTTATTTTTTGAAATTTCCCGCCCCAGTGTATGGCAGTTAATTTTTCTTTAAAAAAAAGACCCATGTTCAAAGATGTACATTATGTTATACTAGAATACACATAATTGTATACATGAATGTACATAATTATATAACAAAATATACATACTCTTTTTAAAAGATAATACACATAATCTAACATAATACATAATAAACATAAACTTTTAACATAATACATATCAACTCTTAACATAATACACACAAATTTTCTGATTCGGATGTACATAATTGTATAAAAAGAATGTACATAATTGTATAAAAAATGTACATAACTGTATGAACAAATATACATAATTGTGTGAACAAATATACATAATCACAGCAAAACGACGTCGTTTTAGGAGGCACGCGGCGCACAATGCTACGCGCGCCGTAGTGTAGGGTATAACGATTGGGTCGACACACTACTAATCCTTCTCCATAGTTACATTGCGTCTCTTGGCTTCTCCCTCGTTCATCCCTTTTCCAGGTTCCGCTCTGTCACTGAAACGTATACACGTATATATGTACACACAAACACACACACGCTATTTTGTGCTTTCAATTTTGAACATTTTAGGGTTCAATTTTAACTTCAAGTTTGGTTTCGTGATTTCTGAAGATTTTACAATTTCTTTATAAAATTTAACGTTTAAGAAATCCTACGAGTGGTGAGCGGAAAAGTGAAATAAAACTGTAATAAAATCACATGTCTTCCTGTTTTGTACTAAAATCACAGGATTCGAATGTATAAATGGTGCGAAGTAAAATTGGAGAGTGCTCAGGAAAATGAAATATAGATCGGTAATATGTTAGAAATATGATATTCCCATTAATGGCAGAGGGAGTACTTGTTTTGTCATACAATTGGCAATTCAGATACTTATGTATAGAATATAGATGGGTAAATCCCTGTTGCTTAGCAGCCATGCAGAAAAGCTTTTTGGGCAAAATTAACATCAAATTAAAGCAGGGAATACTTATTATCAGCTTTCTGTAACTCATGATGCCTGTCTAAACGCATTTTAGATGTGTGCAAATGGGACCATTCTTTTCATCATACAAAATTCCTGGTCTCCAATGGAAGAAGAATTTCTTATGCATTCTGAATTGTCTGAAATTCCCAGTTTTTTTTTTTTTTTTTTTAATAAATAAGTTCTGACAACCACACTCAAAGTAGACCTCTGGATGTGTTTGTTGGCCTAGTTGCTCTGAGCAATTTGAGTGATTGTGCTCCTTGATTCATATGGCATGTGTCTTTTTGGATACTTTAATAGTGTACATATGCATAATTTTTATAGATGCAGTGAATATTGGGAATTCTGACAATCATGCTCAGAGTAGATATCTGATTTTCTGAATGTGTTTGTCAGACTAGTTGCTCTTAGTAATCGTGCTTTTTAGATCTAAGTAACTGTGTAGTATGTTGGCATAATTTTCATTGATGCGATATACATTGGGAAATAGTGCTTATAATGAACTTGTTTAGTTCACTAGCTGCAGAACAATGTCACGAAGATATGATAGCCGCACTACTATCTTCTCTCCAGAAGGTCGTTTATACCAGGTTGAATATGCGATGGAGGCAATTGGAAATGCTGGCAGTGCCATAGGAGTATTATCAAAAGACGGTGTTGTTTTAGTCGGTGAAAAGAAGGTGACTTCCAAGCTTCTCCAGACATCAACTTCCACTGAAAAGATGTACAAGATCGATGACCACGTGGCATGTGCTGTGGCGGGAATAATGTCTGATGCCAATATTCTTATTAACACGGCCCGGGTTCAGGCTCAACGATATACGTATGCTTATCAGGAACCAATGCCCGTGGAACAGCTAGTTCAATCTCTTTGCGACACCAAGCAAGGTTACACGCAGTTTGGTGGTCTGCGCCCATTCGGGGTGTCTTTTCTGTTTGCCGGGTGGGATAAGAACTATGGGTTCCAGCTTTACATGAGTGACCCCAGCGGGAATTATGGCGGGTGGAAGGCTGCTGCTATTGGAGCCAACAATCAAGCCGCGCAATCAATGCTAAAACAGGAGTACAAGGATGAGCTTACGAGGGAGGAGGCCGTTCAGCTCGTTCTCAAGGTGCTTAGCAAGACGATGGATAGCACAAGTCTTACGTCCGAGAAGGTTGAACTGGCCGAGGTATTCCTGTCGAATGGTAAAGTCGAGTATCGGGTGCATTCGCCCGAGTCCCTGAATAAATTGCTGGTGGGGCTTGGAATGACACAACTTACGGTCGAGAGTTAAGGTGATTTGGCTGGCTCTGTTTTGTTGAGTTTGGGAATTATTTTTGTAAGGATCAGGTTATAGATAAAACTCTTGCATTTCTGCATTAGTTGGGTGTACACATTTATTGTGAATTGTTACATTCCTCAGAACTGTTGCATAAGTTAAATATGGTGAAAGTGGAATTTCCTGCCGACTTGAGAAAAGATATGCTACTATATGTAATCCAGAAGAAAATGAAAGATAAGCTAGCAACACCCAACCTATTGAGTGTTGAGCATATAGTGTATATATAATGGGGTGTTGGTAGGATCGAATTGTAATTCTGTTCTCACCAAATTCAATGGAATTTATAATTTCAGTATTTGGTAGGAAGGAATTACAATCCTCGTCAATCATGGAATTGCAATTCTTAAGGTTCCTCAAAATTAGAATTTTACCGTAAATGACAACTTTACTTTCATTATTACGTAGTATTATTTTTTGAAAGATTCATGATTTTATACAAAATAGTATAACAGAAGTGTTATCACACTATATAGTTGTTGGTACAAGATCATTTTCATCCCAAAGACTCAATGTCCCCACAACTGGGGTTCGATCATGTGACGAACTATTTGGAATGGTAACCGTTGGGGTTCGATCTTGTGATGAGTGATGACTCATTCAGAATGGAAACAGATGTGCCATCACATTACATAGTAGTTGACAAAAGGATATTTTCGTCTTTATTCACTTCTTCCCTTTCACTTTGCAATTTTATTCCTGTCTACCGAACAATGGAATATGAATTTTCACCTTATTCTTTTCTAACGAAATTACAATTCTTTTTTCCCTAATTTACTCCTTCCAACTAGATGCCCCATAAACATAAATGTATAATCCAACTATCAGCTTAACCTTTTAATTGAGATGGAACACCTGCTTCAATTTGGTATTAGAGCCAATTAACATCATGCCAAAAGTCAAGAGACTATGGTCTACGTGTTGCTTGGAGCCCGTCAAAAATAATTGCCTCACACAATCTTATTATCAGCTTAGGTTTTTATTTGAGATGGAATACATGTTTCAATTCAACCTAATTAAGCTCAACATCTCGTCAATTATAAGAGCATTCTGTTGGCTAATCAAGTTTCAACAAATTAAACCTATAATATATTCATCAACATTGATGAATTAATTAATTTTTTTATTCATATTTGTTACATGGAGAATTCAAATGTGAATATATACAAACATAATGAAGAAAATAGTGGTTAGTAACCCACGGTTGGCTTAATTAATATAAACATATCTTAGCTTTGAAACAATATAAATCTATCTCTTGTTAACATGTGGATCAGAGTAGTAAGTAGTAACCAATACATACCTTGAAAACCAGTCCAACTTGGTTGGATTTGGTACATCTTATCCCCTCATTTCTATGATTCATTATTAGTTTAATTTACAACCCATTTTTATAAAGTTTTAAGAAATACTAAAATCCCCTTTCTCGGCATGCTAAATGCAAATAAATAGTCGAATTATATGATAAATGATGATTATGATTTATTATACCAATTTATAATATCACACGTGAATTAAATAAAATAAATTTAAATACCTTAATAGTACGGAGTATTATTTTAATGAAATTTGAACTATATATATATATATATATATATATATATATATATATATATATATATAAACCTCATTTTGTCGAGGGTAGTGATTCCTAGCTTTTCCATGCATATATGCAATGTTAAAGTTGGTTCTATAAATGAATCAAATAATAAAATATGATTTATATTTTATTTCTAGATTATTTTTATTCTTAAACTAAACATGCTAGAGCAAGCAATAATATCAAGGAAATGAGTACTTTCCTTGAACCTCGGCGACAGCAATGTGATGATTATATTTAAAGTGTGTAGATTTTTTGTGCACACTGACATTTGACCCTGTTTGCTAAGAAATTGAGTCACCATGATTTAAATCCCAATCGTTATATTGCGCACCAGGGCGCACATAGCAATGTGCGCCCTGCGCCTCCCAAAACAACGTCGTTTTGGTAAGTTATGTATTTTCAGGTATAAAATTCTGTGCATTCTATTATATAATTTTGTACATTCGAAACATGGGAATTTTCAGTTATAAAATTTTATGTTTTCAGGTATAAAATTCTGTGCATTCTATTATATAATTCTGTACATTCTAAACATGAGAATTTTCAGTTATAAAATTCTGTGTATTCTATTATACAATTCTGTACACTCGAACATAAATTTTTTTTTAAAAAGAGTTAACAGCAGACACGCGAAAATGTCCAAAACGACGTCGTTTTGGGCCAAGGCGCACAATGCATTGTGCACTCCGGGCACGGTATAATTTACTTTTAAATCCTTACAAATATTTTGTCGGGCCGGAGTGAGTATGACCCTTGGGGCTGGGGATTCGACATTTTGGGTGAAGGAAATGAGTACTTTCCTGGAACTCATGACTAAAAATATAGAGGTAAATAGGTAATTATGTGCAAAATTCATATTTCATCTAAGCTAAGGTATATTTGATTCGAATTTATTGCTTCTCCAATTTATTTATGCATAATATTTCTTTTTGAAAATCTAGCTGTCATGCACATTGCATGTATATTCAAATTAAACTTGACTAATATATACTCCGTATATCTTTAATCTTTATGAGTGTTTGCCGAGGAAGTCTTAGCTAGCTTCTTAGCAACACAAGATCATTTAATTTGCTATTATTATTTAATTTGTTCTTGTTTTTGGTAGGACTCATCAAGTTTAATTCTTGTAACCAACGATGAATGATTTGGTGAATTATATCATACACCGGAGTTTACCTTGCATTGGTGACCCTCATTTAAAAATAACATTCAGATTGTAACAATTAACTATTTTTGTACTTGTAAACAAATTGAAAGCACATCATATGGTAATTACAAACGCATAACATGATAATTACAATACATAAATTGTTAACTCCAAGTAGAAGAGACACATAGCATGTTAAGCAACATTATCTTATGTGTCTGCAATTATCATATTATGTACCTGCACTTAACAATTTATGTGTCTGTAATTATCATGTTATGTGTATGTAATTATCATGTTAAGTGCATTCAATTTGTTTATAGGTACATAAATTATATTGATAATTAAGTGCAAGTATAGAATATATTAACTGCAGACACATCATTTTTGAACCAAAATTTTTACAATGCAATATATGAACCCTGGTCCATGGCTAGCATGGTATAACAATTGGAATGATTTGCGGGAGGTATTATAAAATAATTAGATGGATTTACTAGTTGGCAGGCCAATGAATATAGCTTAAGTCACAAAATAAATGTGGTCCACGGATATATTAGAAAAGAACAAAAATATTAATTGGAGAACATATATAACAACCCCTATATAACGTAACATGCAAAAATGATAATATTGGAGCTGCGAGAATGACCAAATATGAAGTATTGCAGTTGTTGTTGTTCAAAGCTAAGGATGGGAAAGGAGTAGAAGAACCAATCCATTTCACCTAACGTACAAAAACGACATCGCAGCAGAGAACTCTCGTCTTGGCTCCCACTCTCACCTCTCATCTCCTCTATATATCATTCGCTCATAATCACTCACATCAAACAAAACCATTACTGAAAAACAGTACAAGAAGATAGATAGATAGAGAAATCGTTTGTATATGCAATGGAGTCTTCTTGGTTTCGGATCTTCATCCTCGTGGGCGTGGCTCTTCTGTTTCCGGCAATAGTAGAATGTCGGGTGCGACATTACAAGTTCAATGTAAGTGCCACCCTGCCTAACCAGCTCTTCGACTTCTTCCCGTGTGATCATGTGACTTTGCACCACTATGTATGCACGAATGCACCACTACGGTGTTCAAAGCTGTGTGATACAGTTTGCAAACCGGGTGGTGCTAAGTGGTGATGCATTTGTACTTACATAGTGCACGACGGCATGGGAAGCAGTAAACGTACCCGATCTTGTCCCTATATATAAATGACTCTTATAGAAGCTTTGTCTGTAGGTGGTGATGAAGAACATGACCCGATTGTGTTCAACTAAGCCTACCGTCACCGTCAATGGCAAGTTTCCGGGGCCGACCATTTACGCCAGGGAAGAAGATACCGTGCTCATAAAAGTCGTCAACCATGTCAAATATAACGTCTCCATTCATTGGTAACTATATATTAACTCAACGAAATTTAGTACCTATATATATTCAATTCCTCCCTCTTATATTTATATTATTTTATGTTTATAGGCATGGCATTAGACAACTTCGAACTGGCTGGGCAGACGGACCAGCTTATATTACTCAGTGTCCAATTCAGCCCGAACAAAGCTATGTATATAACTTCACCATAACTGGTCAAAGGGGCACTCTTTTTTGGCATGCACATGTTCTTTGGCTAAGGTCCACTGTCCATGGTGCTTTGGTCATTTTGCCTAAGCTTGGTGTTCCTTATCCCTTCCCAAAACCCGACCACGAAGCTGTTGTCCTATTAGGTAACTAATTAATATAATAAAACATATATATGCATAATATTTTATTTGTGTAAGTATTATTGATAAAGTAAAAATAATAATAATGAGTTATGTGAAATGGGCGCAGCTGAATGGTGGAAATCTGATACTGAAGCTGTGATCAATGAAGCACTAAAATCAGGTTTGGCACCAAATGTCTCTGATGCTCATACTATCAATGGTCATCCTGGACCGGTCACCAATTGTCCCCAACAAGGTACATTACTCACTACACTGCTGAAAATTATGAAATTTCCGACCACCTTAAATCAATTCAAAAGTCTTGTTCCGATCATTCGAAAAAATCTTTGTTGCTATTTCCGACCACTTTTTGCTTTCGACTTGATGATCACTTTCAGGTGGTCGAAAATTGCATAATTTTCAGTAGTGCTATGGGCTATATTATATATATAGACCAAAATTTGTAATCTTTTGGAATCATCTCAAGTGGGATTATATTGTGATAGGTGGATATAGATTGGGTGTTGCTCCGGGAAAAACCTACATGTTAAGGCTGATCAACGCTGCACTCAATGAAGAACTGTTTTTCAAGATCGCCGGCCACAAGATGACCGTCGTGGAAGTGGACGCCACGTACGTGAAGCCATTCAAAACTGACACAATTGTCATCGCCCCCGGCCAGACCACAAACGTAATCATCACCGCAGATCAAGCCGCCGGACAGTACATGGTGGCTGCCTCCCCCTTCATGGATGCTCCCATTGCCGTCGACAACCAAACCGGCACCGCCACGCTCCACTACACCGGCGTACAAACCACTCTCGCCACCACCCTCACTCGCATCCCATCCCAGAACGCCACCCCTGTGGCTAACAATTTTGTTGATTCTCTTAGAAGCCTAAATTCCAAAACATTTCCCGCTAAGGTCCCACAAACGGTTGATCATTCGCTGTTATTCACGGTGGGGCTTGGAATTAACCCCTGCCCCTCTTGCAAACCGGCTAACGGCAGCCGGGTGGTGGCAAGTGTGAATAATGTCACGTTTGTTATGCCCACCACTGCCCTTTTGCAGGCTCATTTCTTTGGTATAAAAGGAGTTTTCACCACAGATTTTCCGGGGAACCCGCCGTTTGCTTTCAACTACACCGGCAGTACTCCTCCGGCCAACCTGCAGACCAGTACGGGGACAAAGCTTTACCGGTTGCCATACAATGCGACGGTCCAGTTAGTTTTACAGGATACTGGAATTGTTGCCCCAGAGAACCATCCTATACACTTGCACGGGTTCAATTTCTTCGCGGTTGGACGAGGAATTGGGAACTTTAATCCTAAGACGGATCCTAAGAAGTTCAATCTTGTGGATCCTGTGGAGAGGAACACCATCGGAGTGCCGGCGGGTGGATGGGTCGCTATCCGATTCCGTGCAGACAATCCTGGTATGTTGATTGATAATTGTTTTTTCATCTGATTGATCATTGTTGGACGGAGGCCGGTAAGGACCAAGTCAAGCACTCTATAGTTGAGAGGTTGTTGAGCAAAGACCAATTAAGGGTTTAAAGGGTCAAGTTCAGCACCCAGCGTCGCCCTCTATTAAGAAATAAAATAGAAACAGAATTGCGTCTTTGCTACTAGCTATAGCTTTTGGCCTTAGTGGTAAGTGTTTGATCCTAACAATAATTTTCTCTGATCTCTTGCATGGAATTGCAGGAGTTTGGTTTATGCATTGCCATCTAGAGATACACACAACATGGGGACTAAAAATGGCATTCCTTGTGGACAATGGAAAAGGTCCAAATGAATCTCTTCTGCCACCTCCCAAGGATCTTCCAAAGTGCTAAGATCTATCACAACAACATTCTGAATTGAAGAAAACCTCTTCATTAGACAACCTTGATACTCGATCAATCACCTTACATTCGAAGCTGATGTCTATAGGAACTGAGAAGTGAGAACCTTTAATTTGTGTTGTGCAAGAAAACGAAGGGAGAAAGCAATCAATAAAGAGTGTATGTAATACAGTATAGAGCACAGCAACTTATTTTATTTGTTTGTTGAGTGAAAGAATAAAACTAAATTTTTTTCTCCAGGAAAAAAAAAAAAAAAAAAACGAACTGTTCATGCGTTTGTATTTAATGTAATTCTTTAACAATTCATTTTCACTAAGTTTCAAGTTATGTATCAAAAGAAGAAACAAAGTTTCATGGTTGAAGAGATCGATTGTATGTATTTTTTTAGTTATTTTTATGAGAAATCTTTACGGTTATTTTATACAATCTGTTGCAAATGAAATAATTAGTATCAAATTACTGTGATCAATACAATTTTATTCCTACTCATCACTACTAAAATTAAATTGCTTTGCAACGAAATACATTGCCACGGCACAAATTTTTCTTGCAATTTTATTAAATTAATTGTTTTGCAACAAAACAAAAATTCAGTGCAAGGGAAAACTATAAGTCTTTGTTAGTACATAATTAATATGAAAATATTAATTTTGTTTTTATGGACATGTTACAAGGCGTTTGGTTGGAAGGAATGAATTAAGATGGAAAGGAATTGTAATTCGGTGGGAATAAAGTAAGAATTGGAATTACATTGTTCGGTAGAGAGGAATAATGAAAATGGGAGAAGTGATATAAATACTAAAATACCCTTTGTGTAATAATATTAATAATAACATTAAAAGACAAATATATTTTTTCCTTCCCTTTCCCTTTGGATGAATTCATTGAATTGCAATTCATAGGGGGACCTATGAATTGCAATCAATGAATTGAGAGAATTGCAATTCCAATGAATTGAGAGAATTGCAATTCCCTCCAACCAAACAACGTAGTTTATCATTTCATGCAATTCAATTTCAATGCAATTCATGTCAACCAAACACCCCCTGAGTGTTTTTGTTGGCATATTGTGTTGGTCCATTTGTCTGCAGTATGTAATATTGAAGCAGCCTAATTATATATATGGGATGAAGAAAGTGGTGGTTGTAAATCATGGAGACCAATTTTTGAGCATGTAACAAATTTCTTAATTATCTCATCAAATAAGCAAGTGTGTCCCATAATTTGTACTTTTATGCTTGTAGTGCTGTTACGGTATTGTGTTTGTATATTTTTTGATGGATTTATTATTATAGATTATTTTAATTGAATTTATTATTATAGGTATTATTTTAAAAATTTAAAACTTTAGCTTAAACAACTTCACTTAATCGACCGATTAATCGAAAAAAAAAAAAACTTCAATTTAGTTAATTCGATAATACAAAGTTCACTTCGATTAACGGTTAACCAATTACACATTCCTACTTTTCTTTTATTTGTTTTCTTTTTTTAATTCATCTTTTTTCTACTCATGAATTGAATTGGAGGAGCATGTTGGGATGTTTTCTTGTCTTTGTTCACTTTTTGACTTTAATGCGTGCCTCCTTTTTCTTTGTTTTCTCGTTTAGTTTAGTTTTATACGTACACACTGTAAACTTTAAATAAAGTGAATATAAAATTGTCAATAATTTTAGACTTAAGTGATTTAATTAGATGTTTACTTTCAAGGATAAAAGCTGTAAGTATATATAATCAAGGAAAATGCATGGCCTTCAAGATTAAGTTTACTTCAATACTTTAAGATTATATTAAGCTAAACGTTTACTTCAATACTTAAGTTTTCATTTTTATCCTTTATTTATAAAATTTTTTTAAAAAAAAACACTTATAAGTAAATATATTCTCTATTTTTTCTTTTTTAAAATTTTTAATTTATCTAAAAAAAAAATAGAAAATTTTCCTGATTAATTAACACACTAGTGACTTAACTATGAAATTCAATGAACTCATCAGTGTTATCATGTTCAGTTGAGTCACCATGATTTACATCCTCCCAAATGCTCTGTCGGGCCGGGGTGTGGGGGTCCTTAGGGTTGGGGTTCAGCCTTTTGAAGAATATATTCTTATTAATGCTTTCATTCTTAGTGTTTTTAGTTACCCCAAGTAAGATTGCATGAAAATGGAAAACCAGAAAATTGAAAAATGAAAAATACAGGACATAAAATGTATGAAAAAAATATTAATATAATTATATAAAAATATAAATGTATCTTTACAAATATTTTTTTCAAATATGCATAAATAGTAATTATTTACTACATTTATTTTTAAAAAAAAATATTTTTAATTTATTTAAAGTTGTGAAATATTTTATGCCGTTTTCACATGCATATTTGTAGAAAGAAACACTTATATATCCCAAAGACGTAGCTCAAGCCTTAAGTGACAAAGGAGCTTTTTTGTGGGACAATCTTAAATTCCTAGAGATATAATTCGGGTTCAGTTCTTACAAGTGATAATTACCTTTAGGTCAGGCGGTCAGCTCCCATGCCTCCCGAAGGGTTCGATTCTCACAAGTGACAATTTTCTTTGGGTCAGGTGGTCAGTTCTCATACCTTCCGGAGTGAACGAGGATTAATATTTAATTGTTTGTTAAGGTCTCTTCTTACTTCCCGACATATATGATAAGAAATTTTGCATATATTGTTGCAAGGTTGGGAAAAAGAGAAACAGATTATCAACAATCCAAACTCGAAGAAAGAAATTAGTCTGTTTGGTAGCTACGCTTTGATTCCTTCAACTTCACATTCACAACAAAAACTCACCTCTCACACTTGACAGATAACCTTTGGGAGTAGAAGATAGATAACAATCATTACCTTTCTTTTCCACATACCACCTTTATAGCTAAATGCATCGAATTTATGCCAGCAAATTATTCCATATATTAGACCACCTTCTATAGTGTTTTTTTTTTTTTTTTTTTTTTTTGACTAACTTGAAACGTTGAGTTGATATAACCTCAAAAATTAAGTTATTCTGCAAGAGTCAAAGACCTTGTGGTCAAGCGATATGATTGTGACTCTTAAATATTACATTGTAGCAGAGTCAATAGTACTAAAAAAAAAAGTTATTCTATAAGAAAACTGTTTTTGGATTAAAAAAAAAAAATTACAACCCTAATAGTTACAATTTATGCCTACTAGTTACATTTTTAGAAAATTTCTTGTAGATACTAGAAAGAAACATTTTTAGAAAAGTTCTATGTTACTAATTTCAAAAAGTAATACTTATAAATACGGAGTACTATTTAAGAATAAAGTATTTAATTTATTACTTATATGAGGAAATGTAATACTTTTACATTTTGATTTAAAAGTATAGATAAAGGTCAAATAAGCCCTCAAATTATATAAAATGTACAATTAAACCTTAAACTTTAAACAGTTTAAATTAGATTCTTGAACTCACAAAAATTAAGCAATTAACCCCTTTTTACTTGTTTTTGCAAGTTATTTACAGGTTAATGTCATGTTATATTTTAAGATTATTATTTTGATTTTTTTTATTTTTTCTTGGCACAAGTGTCAAATAGGCCCACCTACTACTGCGAAGTGCTCAATTTCCACCACGAACTAAATTAAGTGTCAAATAGATCCATCTACAAGTTAAATTTGTTCAATTGACTTTTTTTACAGGTTAATAACAAGTTACCAATTTAATTATTAAAATAAATAAATAAAATAAAATAAAAATAAAAAATAAAAAAAAAAAAAGAAAAAAGAATACAGCCACGGGCTGTCCTCGCCGGACAACCGGTGGCTGCCAACCAGCTATCCATCAAAATCTCATCTGATCCCTTGTGCATAACAATTCAACCAGGTACAGGCTCGTAAATTTCAAAGTTACCAATTCCAGTACCCTATTGATGCCACAACCTCCACTCATCCAGTCTGGTAAGCTTGGCACAAGCTGCTGCATGTTATCCAAACCACAACAGAGTCATATATGAGCACACAACTATGTTAAACAAAACATTGACATAAAAATTCAATCACACCAAATAACTTCAAATCACAAACAGCCTAGACAGAACATTAACCCCTCAAAAATTCCTGCTCAAATATTTTTGCAAGTGTTTATTTTTTTAAGGTTACTAGTCAGTTTTAAATAATGGCACAATTAAAAACAGGATTTGCAACAGGATCTGGAAACAGAAAGCGAGAACCACTATTTCTCCACGAAACTATGGATGGAAAAGGGAAAGGAAACAAGTTGAAAAGGGGAAGGCTGTATTCTTTTTTTTTTTTTTAATAATTTTTAAATTATTTTGAAATTATTTTTTTTAATAATTGAATTGGTAACCTGCAAAAAAAAAAAGTCAATTACCTGCAAAAAAAGCTAATTGAACAAATTTAGTAGGTAAGTGTGGTTAATTAACCTTTAATTTAGTTCAGGGTGGGAATTGAGCACTTGACAATAGTACATGGGCCTATTTGACACTTCTCCCTTTTTTCTTTTGTATTATTAAAATAACACCATAACTAATCTTTTCTAGAAGTGTAAATTTGTTTCTCGATTTTTTTTTTATTTTATTTTTTTGAAATGACATTTTTAGTCCCTTACACTAGAAGTTTTTTAATTTCTTGGTTTTTAAAATAATAAAAAAGAGAAAATTTCAATTTTGGTCCTATGACTATAGGGGTCTTGTTAATTTCAGTTCCTAACTTTTAAAAGTGTCAATTTAGTACCTTGACTATGTAATTTTTATCAATTTTGGTCACTCCGGCCAGATTACCGGTCAAATTTCGCCGGAAAATATTAATGATAAAAAAATTGAGGGTATTTTAGTCTTTTTCATGTATTATCTTTTTCTCCCCATTATTTTGCCGTTGAAGGTATCCAAATCTGGGCTGCAATTGAAGCCTGGGTGGAAGAATATTGCCACTTGTATTACCACTCAGATTACATGGTCCAATGTGACTATGAGCTCCAGTCATGGTGGACGGAGATTCGACAAGTAGGACATGGCGACTTGAAAGATGAAGCATGGTGGCCGCAAATGCAGACACGACTCCAACTCATCCAAACCTGCACCATCATCATATGGGTAGCTTCTGCTTTTCATGCTGCGGTTAACTTCGGCCAATATCCCTACACAGGCTACCTCCCTAATCGCCCCACCGTGAGCCGCCGGTTCATGCCGGAGCAAGGCACATCGGAGCACGCCGAGCTCCACTCGAACCCGGACCTCGCCTTCCTCAAAACCATCACACCCCAGTTGCAGACCCTTCTGGGCGTCTCTCTTATAGAGATACTATCCCGGCATTCCAGTGACGAAATCTACCTTGGGCAAAGAGACACCCCCTACTGGACTTCGGACGCGGAACCGCGAGAAGCGTTTCAGAGATTCCACGACAAGTTGGTTCAGATTGAAGGTCGGATATTGGAAAGAAATGGGGAGAAAAAAAAAAAAACAATACAGGTAAAAAGACAAAAACACCCTCAATTTTGTAACCCTTAATATTTTCCGGCGAAATTTGACCGGCAATTTGGTCGGGGTGACCAAAATTGAAAAAAAAATTGCATAGTCAAGGTACTAAATTGACACATTTGAAAGTCATTGACTAAAATTAACAAGACTCCTATAGTCATAGGACCAAAATTGAAATTTCCTCTAATAAAAAATTTGTGTGTTGATTTTTAACTAATGTGGAGTGGGATTTTTTTTTTTCATTTTTTTTTCTCTTGCAAATGATAAACTTTTGTGGGATCCATTGCATTGGAAAAGAAAACAAAGCAAATGGAGAAAAATCGCGTGGCAGGGATGACTGTGCCCAGCAGCGTGTCAGGGAATCCATTTATGCTTTTCTTTTAGAGGCAAAATGATTAAATTAGCCTCATAAATCAATCGGATAGTGCAATTGGGTCATCTAAATAAAAATAAAAAAATAAAAAAATAAAACTACATTCAAATCTCCTAAATTGGTAAAATTCATCAATTAAATCCAAATTAACTTTCCTTCAAAAAAAAATTCAAATTAACTTATTTAGCAGGTTAATTCTTCCCAGACATGCATGTGTCTTTTAGAAGAAAAAAAAAAAACTTTATTTATTTATTTTTGAAAACATTATTTATTTATTAAAAATTACTAATAATTTTAAAAAATACAACCTAACCTGAGAGAAAACTTGCAGGAAAAATCTCAAAATCAAACACCCTAACCCATGACCCAAATTTGAGACATGATCTCCGACCACCATAGCAAACAACTTGCAGACTGGAAGATGAAAGCGACCGAAAAATCTTCAATCGCAGCTGAACGCGGACAACATCTGGTATTTCGACAATGTGACTAAAGACTTTGATTACAGCGAAGAAGAAGAAGAAGAAACAGAACTATAAATTACCCAATAAATTAAAGTAGATCAAAATCCAAATATAAATTCAATGCAATATTGAATTTCAAGTTTTTATTAGGTGGTTATCGAGATTGAGTAATGCGTTAGGTCGTTACTCGTTAGGATAGTTTCCGAGCGGTTAGACTGCTGCGTCGTCGAGGAACCAAGTCAGGACAGTGTTGCAGCGGGCTATGGCATTCATGGAAGAACAATTGCCTAACTTACTGGATGATTCTAGAAAATTAAAACAATAAAAATAAGAAGAAATTGAAGTTAGAAAATTTCCATGACCGTAGATTATAGAGGAATGACGGAGAGGCAGAAACAACGGTGGCTGTAGTTTTTGTTTGTTTTTTTTTTTTTTTTTTTTTTTTTTTTAAATTATTAATTTTAATAAATAAATAAAAAGTTTTTTAAAAAACAAAAACAAAAAAGACAGATTTAGGAAGAATTAACCTGTTATACAAGTCAATTTAAACTCAATTGAACAATTTTTACGGATTTAGAGAATTTGAATAGAGTTTTTTTTTGGAGTTTTTTGCACTTTTGGTCCCACGACTATAGTAGCACTAGCAGAATTGATCCATGACTTTCTAACCTTGCAATTTTAGTCTACGACTATTGTTTTTTTTGCAAAAATGGTCCTTACGGGCACTTTTTTGTCAAAATTTCACCGGAGGAAAAATTCTTCATTTTTAACAGGGTTAAAATTGACATTTGACTTATCTCAAAAAATAAAAGAAAAAAATTAACCTTTGACTACATACAATATTACTGGGCTACATACTACTGCCCCAGGCGGCGGAGTTCTTGGAGCAGGCAGGGCTGTCAGTAAGCTACGGAGCGGCAGTGGCATTCACCGGGCTAGTTGGGTTATCCAGCAGCAGCATTGGAGGCGAAGCCAGCACGCATGCCGGATCATTCGAAGACATCGGAAAAGCTTCGCTGTATAGATTTTCGGCGAGAGAAGCGGCGGAGATTCTCAAATGCAATCGCTTATATTTTTTTTTTTGTTGAGATAAGTAAAATGTCAATTTTAGCCCTGTTAAAAATGGAGAATTTTTTTTCCGATGGAATTTTGACGGAAAAGTGGCCGGAAGGACCATTTTTGCAAAAAAATCAATAGTCGTGGACTAGAATTGCAAGGTTCAAAAGTCGTTGATCAATTCTGCTAGTGCCACTATAGTCGTGGGACCAAAAGTGCAAAAAACTCTTTTTTTTCGTAAGACATCCAATTACACCATCCGATTGACTTAGGGGGTCAATTTAACCCTTTTTCCTTTTTTAGATATCAATTTATATATTTTTTTCTTTTTTCTCTTCCCTATTTTATTCTCTCTCCTACATGTATCTAAAAAAAATCAACAAAAAACTCATATTAATGTAGATGCTCTTAATTTATAAGATTAGTTTTTATTATTTAAATATCAACTTTCCTTCTATGTACCCCATAAATTCACTACGCCATTTCCAACTCAATGGATCACAAATTTTAGACAAACTTGATAAGGAGAAGGTTATGCTTAAATAACCAAATTAATCTTGACTTTTTAGATTGCAATAGATAAAATATAGAACAAATACTATCTTTTAATAGAGTTAATAGTATTAAAAAAAAAATTAATCTTGCAAAATTAATGCTTTCAAAAATTTTATTAGATAATGAGGAAATCTATTAGTGATGGGCTAAAAATGTCACTATGAGAAAATGTGTGAGACGAAATCTACACCTTAAATTACTAAAGAATTTAATCTACACCAAAGTATTACCTTTTTTTTTTTTTTTTTTTTTTTTTTTTTTTTTTTTTTTGAAAACGCAAAAGTATAACTAAAAACCAAAAGTGTCAATTTTCCTTAATTGAGCCAAAAACTAATTTAGCTAGCACTTTATCCCTTAATTGAGCCAAGGTGCCTCCTACCATTAAGGTCAGCTCACGGCTATCTCACGGCTATCAATAAGTCAAAAGAAAAAAAAAAAAAAAAAGAATGGTGTGTCACAATTAATAAAGAAGCATATAGTATTGCTAAGATACCAAATCATTATTCTAAGCATTTTACTACACAGACCAAGTCAGAAAAGAAGAAAAACTGATGTCATTTCTCATATTTTCATGAATAGCATTTAGCAAGCAAACATTATGGCATGATGGCACTACTACAGTCTACACCCTCTGATTCAGTAAAGTCAGTATAGGAAAAAAGATTGAAGTTGTGGCAGTTGTATGTGAAGCAGCTTTAGCAGTCTAAACTACAACCCCTTCATACCAACTACTGAGAAAGCTCAAATTAGATGGTGGGTCTTCATTACTGCTTTAGGTACACTTATCATAACATCATCAATCTTGTGCACACCCCTATTCAATCTCTCACTTCTTCATTTATGTCAAAAAAATCACTTCTTTTACTCCAACACCCAACCATACCACTCCTCAAAAACTATCCCAGTTCTGAGAATCTTTCCTTAGGTGAAAACCTGTGAACTGAAAGAATGCACTGCAACTACTCCAGCTTTTCCGTCTGTTGCGGTGCATTCTTTGAGTAGTTGCGGTGCATTCGTTCCGTAATTCGCATGTTCTCACCTGAGGCATGGTTTTCATGGGAGCTAGACCCTAGAGAGAGGGGTCCTCCTTGTTGAGCATATAATATAACATAAACATAAATGTGCAATCCAACTATCAGTTTAGACTTTTAGTTGAGATGGAGTACGTGCTTCAATTCTCCTATTTACCTAGAACAGAAACAAATTCATGATTGAAATACTGAATCCAGAGTGAAAGGAATTGGCATAAAGAGATAAAATAAAGAAGTTTCCTGTTATTAGGAAAACTAAAAGAGGCAAGCAGATTGAAACCCAATAAGTCTGATCAGGATCAGCAACCAAACATCAAGAAAACATTTTTGTATGAATACATAGTAAGCACAGGAAACTAGAGTTAAACCAAAGAACAACTAAAAGGCAAGGCCGGGGGGATCGGGATCTCACTATACTTGAATTCTGCTGCTTCCAATGGAGTGTGACCTGCTTTTCATCGGCTTCCTCTCACCGGTGTCAAGCTAAAACGCAAGAGTCCATTGTCGATCCGGTTAGGGAAATAACACGCACTCCGGTTCCTTCCCAACACGAACTCATCCCTCCTCTCTTTTCCATTCCCATTCATCTCGACACTAGATTTCCTGGCAGCCTCGAATGGTCCATTGTTATTGCTCACATTCCTCCAGCTCACACTGCTGTTACTTCGGAAAAGCTTCCTATTAAGCCCCCCTCTCGCATCGCCATTATTATCCCTCCCCAGGTCTTGCCACGACTCCGAAAACGAAATCTCTGTCCCGTTTGCTCTGCTATACCTATCGTCATCCTCGTCTTTGCTCCCACCCCCTCGCCCCCGGGATATAAAACCAAAAATGTTCCAAGCCCATCTCTTTGGCTTCTTCAAATTCTTCCTCTCCCCATTCCCATTCCCATTCACATTCCCATTCCCAATCCCAACCATGGAAGCATTATCCTTAAAGCTAGTCAATTCGAAAGTCTCGGAGAAATCATCCCTCAGAGAATTGGAATGCGAAATTGAATCCTTTGCCCTGTGAAAGGAATCCGAAGAGGGCAACACTTTAGCATTAGAGACGGTTTTGGTCTCATCGATTTCGGCTACCACAGCTGCTGCAGCCTTCCTAATAGAGCTAGACCTATCAAGACTCTTCCTCCTCCTGGAGGAAGAATCCAAGTAGTACTCCCTAGTCTGGGCAGAACCCCCCGGCACGGTCTCATCATCATTGCTGAAATTCATCATAACAGGAGGCTCCTCGACAGGGATTTGAGTATCGGTCCGGGTAACGTGCACCACCGGAGCATCCTCCACTACAGAAACCATGGGTGCCATTCTTGGAAAGCTTCTTCCAATCAAATACCCATCCCAGGAAGCCCGAGGCTCGTCCAGGGAGTACCTCGGACCATCAAAGCTAATTCTCCCAACATCGAGCGAGAATCGAGGGTCTGTGTCACAAGATCTCCTCCCAAACCCATAATCTGTCATCTCCGGTTGGATCTCTCTGTTTTGCTTTGAGGTAGGCTTCTCAGCAGGCAAA